TATTTTTTAAAATAAAAAGTTAAATTAAATAATTAAATATTAATTAAACAATTAAGGAAAAAAACGAGATTTCAAACGGCCTAGTCAACAATCTGGATTCGAGACGCCTAGGCCGTTTGGAATCCACACGGCCCAGAAACTGGGTGGCCCAGTTAACTGGGCCATCTGGATTCTAGACGGCCCATGGTTCTAGAATCTAGATGTCTGGATCCAGACCCATTTGGATCCAAACGACGACAGGCAGTCGATACAAATGGCGGAGATCGCCATTTCCGACGATCTCCGCTCCCAAAGTGTGCCAAAATCCTCAATTTCATCCATAATTTATGATCTACAACAATTTCTATAAAGATTATTCAACAAATGAACATACAACATGTTTTATTTATTCAATTAATGTATATAAAAGTTCCAAAACTCACCTTCTTCAGGGAAATGGTGATCTCCGGTCTGTGTCGTCGATTTTTTGGCCGTATGGGTGGTCAGTTTCTCTACAGTGTTTTCCTCTCCGCTCTCTCTTCAAAATCGTGTGAGGGTAAAAATGGTTTTTCATTACCTTATATGTGTTTAATAATTTTCCTTTTTTTAAATAGTCAACGGCCATTGTGGAAAGATGACCGGTTGAACCGACCATCTTCCACTATTTCCTNTAGTGGTACATAAGTATTTACATAAGGGTCTACATAATGCTGACGTGGCATGTGATCGACCTTTAATTCAAATATGACACGTACACATCAAGGACCGGATGATTGCCACTTCATCATTATGTAGCGCTTTATGTAGAGGTTTATGTACCACTAGCATTATCCTATATATATAGGATAATGCAACAAGTACAGGAGGCTATTCACAGACCCTTTACAGGATTTTGAAATTCGGTGACGTGGCAATTGAAAAACAAAAATGCCAAAAAAAAGGACAAAAAGACAAAACAAAACCGTGGGAAACAAAACTGCGAAATCATACATCTAATTCAGGATTCCTTCCACACAGCCGCGACCTGAATCTTCAAAATCGTCTACCTCCAACTCCGACCAACCTCCCGACGGCGCATATTTCACCCACCCACAACTTTTCAAGCAGATCTTTGAACCACCGACACAGCCTCAGCGCCAAACTCTCTGCTCCTTTTCCTGTTTATTTTTTTTCTTCATTTTGTTTCCTGCTAATAAAAATGGTGAAAGAGAGCCCCATTTGTATGAAGATCTGGGAACATTCATGAAGAACATTTATTTTCCTTCATTTTACAACCAATTCATTCCTCCAAGATCGTTCTCAGTAAAATCCAGTGGAAGTGAATGGAACTCATCAAGCATTAACTTATTTGTATTACAGACAATTTCATGAGCTCCAAGGCGACATTATATAGCTGGACATTTTCAGTTTTCAGACCAGTGGAAGTGAATGCAACTCTTCAACCATTATGATGCAACTGAATTCTTTTTAAATTGCCTGCTTCTCACTGTGATTATCAATTGCCATAAACAACATAAATTCCCACATTTTAAACTCTCCAACCATCATTTTAAACAACAGAATTCTAATTACATAAACCACTTGCTTCTCACTTTGATTGCACAAATTGAAACAAGAATTCCCACATTTCCATGAACAAATTAGTCCCACATCAGTTTTCAAATTGCCATAAACAAAAACAAAAGGCACCACTTGTAGGAAATCAAAACACACATACATAAGGTTCCAACTACAGGAAATCAAAAACACATACATTTGCCTACAAGCAGGTTGCTTCAATTACAACTGCAGTGATGGCCAACAGGTTTACGGCTACGTCGGTGGTTCAAAGATCTGCTTGCGAGACGTGTTGTTCAGTGGAGAAACAGTGTGTTGCGAGGTCATCTTCAGAAATGGTCGCCGACGAAGACGCGGTGTGGTGTGGTCGACTCCAAAAATGGGTGGTGGTCAGCCGATTTGAACCGTATGTGTCGGCCGGAGATGGAAGTATGGTGTGAGGTCGACTCCGAAAATGGGCTCACACCGATTTCAAAAATATGCGTCGGCCGGAGATGGAAACAACAGCATCGTCGCTGATTGTTTGGCAAATCACCACTAGGGAGTTGAGGCGAGAAAGGAAATGGTTTTGTTTCCCACGGTTTTGTTTTGTCTTTTTTTTTCTTTTGGCTTTTTTGTTTTTCAATTGCCACGTCACCGAATTTCAAAATCCTGACCTGTGAATAGCCTCCTGTACTTGTAGCATTATGCATATATATATTACCCATAAACGCTGCACCAGTCAAAATCCCAAGTTGAGTAGCATTATTCTTATTAAAATAATTGTCTGATTTGGGCAGGGTGGGGATATTTGGATTATTTTNTTGATTTTTGAATAGTGATATGATGGGAAATGTGTGGTTGAAAAAAAAGAAAAAAGTATTGATGTGATGGAAAATATTATTTTATTGAAGAATGTGTGGTTGAAAATGAGAATTGATTTACTGTAGAAAATGAGAATTTTTACCAAACAGGCTCTAAGTCTTGTTTTTTTAAAACTTATTTTAAAACCACATATTAAAAAAAAAAAAATTACATGTAAATCGATTTTATTTTTTATTTTTTAACCACATTTTTTCTGAAAAATACTATTTCTAAATACATTTGTCCCCTAAAATGGGGTTCAAACAAGGACTTAGTATGGTTAAAGCATAATACATGTGATCATGCTTTCATATTGGTCCACACACCAAATCAGCCGCGTAATTATTGAAAAAGTTCCGCTACACAAACAAGGTGGATTTAAAAATATGGTAACACGTATCGCAACATTATTAATCAATTTATAAAAAAAATTACCCATAAACGCAACACCAGTCAAAACCCCTAATCGAGTAGCATTATTCTTTATTAAAATAATTGTCTGATTTGGGTAGGGTGGGGATATTTGGATTATTTT